CCATCCCACTCCCAAAAACCTCCCTCCGCTCGGCAGTTTTCCAACAAAAACCGATTTTTTTTGGAAATTTGGTAGGGGATTGGGAAGTTCGGCGTCATGGCAGGTGAGATTGCAATGGGAGTCGCACCGGAGGAGAAGATCGAGGAGGAGTCGTTCCAACACCTCCATTTTACCCATACCGATGTTGTACCCTGCTTCTTTTCCTGGTTTTTCAGGCACTATTTACCCTTTAGTGCCCCAATCATCCGAAATCAGGCCAACTTTTGACTGACCTTTTCCTCCGCTGGCAGAAGCGGCTAAAAATATGTTAATGGGCAGTACAGGGTAAATAGTGCCGCTTTTCAGCTTATTTCGGGGACAGGTGTGACGTTGGCGAAAACCCTATGTTGGACAACTCCGGGCTAAGCTATTCCGGCTGCGGGATGAACGTCTGGTTCATTAATCAGGGCAGAGTTTTTTTCAGTCTCATTGCTGGACATCCATCACCGTTGCACGTTCTGTTTTTGCTTTCTTTCTTCCTGTCTCTGTTCCTTTTTCCTTTCTCTTTCTATCCTTTGCTCCTTCCTCCTTTATTTCCTTCTTAGTTCTTCCGTTCTTTTATTGAGATCTTCCCCTTCTCAGTCAACAATCCTGTTTTTGTGGGCTGAACCAGGCATGAGAGTCATCATCAGCTGATTGACCTCACAGAAAAAAGGCGCAACTGCGTTGCCTTCGCCAACCAACGCGCTATTTTGAGGACGCTCTAGTAAACATCGAAGACCAGTTTTGTGGACAAGCCGTGGTGTGCTCCCCTCTCGGATCGATGTGCCGCAAAGCACATTAGATACTGATAATCCAATGGTCAGTTTTCCAGTTTTGATCCAACTTGATCGCTACTCTCCAAATTAATCTGCTTCTCGCCTCAACCTAGCAGTATCACAATATCTTACATTGTTTACTGGTAAAGCTGAAAATTGACAATTTTCTAATGATTTCGTTGAGGCTGTTTCACCGTTACGTCTCTGACAATGCGTCTGGAAAAACTAGCATTTCCCCTGAATCTTCAGTTATACAGTGTCTGTTTGGCGTCAACGCGTTGACAAACGTCACACTTCCTATTGGACAACCTCATCTATGAACTTTTCGAGGAACCTCCTACACTCCTCTCTTGGTCAACTACAGAGGATTCCCAGGCCCTCCACTAACCATATCCTCACTTTTTTCTGGCCACCATTTTGGTGCTCAGCAGGACGCCCTAGTATGACGTCACCTTTTCCCGCAGAGAACATGCTGCATAATATTTTGACTCCACGAGATAGCCGAGTTTGGGCGACAATCCGTTGACCTTCGACGGCGGACTCAAACGCACAGCCTCATGCTATCGCCGGTTACGGCGCTATTTGCTTACGGCACCAAAGCCCTCTCTACCTCTTCGCTCGATATAAGCTCGCATAGTTACTCAGCTATACTGTCCTCATCATTAACGGACTGTCGCGGCGTGGCCCGGAGTAGAATGTGCCACATGCTTCTTCAGCCTTTAATTCGTTTGATACGCGTACCGAACAAAGAAATGTTAGAAAACTAGTAAAGTGATAGAAAACGAGTAGATACGGAAGGATATAATACAGTAATGTCACTTGCCCGCTTCAACAATTGGTGCAGAACGACTTCGGTACCGCGCCAAACGCAGCCGCACTGACACGCCCCGACAGTCCGTAATGATGAGGATTGTATGGCACTGGTTGCGGAAGTGACATTAATTTTTGGCGCCAGCGCTATATAGGGCTCCATTTATCTGCGTTCTATTGAGGCTGAGCCTGACGAAGGGAATCATTCTTCCTCTCAGCTGAGCTTTAGTAGAGCACTACATCGCGTTGGTGTCGAAAAATGAATGTGGTATTAAGTGATAAGGTGCAGGTGGGAATTCCGTGCTCATAAAATTAATTTTGCCGCGCCACTGCAACCTCTCAGCTGCCCTACGGGGCTAATTTGTAGTAAACTGGTCTGGCAGGATAAAAACGCTGAATCGCACATCGGCCTTGGCAAACCCTTGTGGAAGTCAGGTCGCATTCGAACCGCTATTCCGAGCTGACGTAGAATGCATGGCTCATCTTGAGGAAAGAGAGATTGATCAATCTTGAATAATTTTTACTATTTCTCTTTTGATCCCGGTTAACAGTAAGTGCACCTGGAATTCCGTGAGAAACTTGTTACTATTTATGGAGTTTTTTTCGCTGGGCGGTGAAGGTCAAACAGCAGTTTTTCCTTATAACAAGTAACAGTTGAAAATATGTAGCAGAATACAGCTTCCCAAAAAGAGGCTTCCTCGCAGTTGTGTAGAATAAAATCCAGCACAGTTAGCTTAGGGAAAACAATCTCATCTGTTATCACAAGAATGCTGAATTGTGGGCAAAAGTCGTGCCCCAGGCGGAAGTCGAACCCGCACCTCACCAGTAATCATGACAAAACAGCTTCAAAAATCTCATCTGTGACCAATACCTTCAGAAAGGTTAACGTCGTGGGAGGTGTCGGTTGGGATGTCCACGTTGCGGCGACGCCCACAAACCAGCTAGTTGACTCGTACTTTGCCCTTCCGTGTTAAATCAATTAGGTACCACTGCGAATGACATCACCTGTAATGCCGATTTTGTAGTTTAGCCGCAACATGAGTCTCCTGACCGGCATCCAAACATGAGGATGTCAGGTAGTGACTACGAAAGGTTTGTCCGTAAATGGCACATTTCTCAGAAGTGTTGGTTGCGCATACTTTATTATTCTCCGCTTTGCAATAAATCTCGCACTGTTTAGCGTAGGGCAGGGAAGGCCTATCAATTTACCGTAATTTTTTCTGCTAGTTGAGGGGGGGTATGTGGCAAGAGAATCGTAATTCGCCCTGCTGGTGGGCGTCGCGTGCGACGTCGCGCCCGCAAATGACGATGGTTCCAGGTAGTAGATGGCGACAACAGGCAATTCAGAACCGAAAATAGTCATGAATGTCTACGATGACGGGGTCTACATGAAGTCCGGTGCTCCAGTCGACAGGTTAACACGAGTTAAGAAAACGCCGCGCCCATCGCCGCGCGCGGCGGAGCGGCAAATTACGATTCTCTTGCCCGTCTCCCAGTTGAGGGAGATTTCCCGAGATTTCTTTGCTGGTTTATTTTGCTAACAGGTCTCATTTTGTTGAGACCTGTACAGTCCTGTGAAGCGGCGAAGTGGTACAAGTGAGCTACTTCGTTTACAGGAATTCACAGGTCTTCACTGGGTACCCTATTCAAGCCTTTGTGAGTACCATTTGGTCCCCCGACCAAGCTGAACTATGCATATATATTTACGATTTTTTTCCTCTTATTCATGAAAAATGAATGTTGTTTATCGGTTATTTCGACGTCGTTTTTGATTTGTTCGTTGAAGTTCAGTATTTATTTATAGCAGACATTGTTTTTTTAGAGGTGATCATTCCGTCAAACGAGGACGAACAACAAATGCCACCTGCCGGAGGCACACAGCTGGTCATCTCGGAAATTGACGCCGCCGATAATATGCGACCTCCAGAAACTACAGTGTCTAGCGATGTGGTGTTGGAACGAGACGAAGAAGCAAACCTCGATGTAAATGGCATTATAAGGCCGAAAATCGTGGAGACTGCTGAGGTCTGAGAGTACTCTTTGTTATTACCCACTTAGGCAGCGTTCAGACTTCGCGACGGCAGCACTTCGGTGCGCGTTCGACATGATTGCGCATGCCTTCAGCTGCATCGATCGCGTCGAGCGCGCGACCGAAGCGTTGCCGTCGCGAAGTCTGAACGCTGCCTTATTCACCCAATCTTTCTCCTGTTTCCTTTTTTACTTTAAACACGTAATTGCGCTTTGTCAAGCTCATAATGCTAATGACAGACGGTGTAAGCAGGAATGAGTAAAAGCACTAAACACCCCACCCCCCGAAATACCCTATTGACCCCATGCCGAACCGCACTTGTACGACAAAGGGCGTGGTCGGACTGATTCTCTCTCGATTGGTGCCAACTCTTTCTTCTTATGACCTCGCTCTCGCCATTCAAAATGAAGAGAATTATGTAGTAGCGGGGCAACCGCGCCATAGGTATCAGGTAAAAATGAAAATTGGGCGTCGCCGTGGCCAGTAGACGGTGCTATCGCTCTACCGGACAGGACTACCATTTCCAGAGAAGGTGCCTGGAGATTAAATGAACGCACGGCGTGCCTTTGACGATTTTTCACCGCGGCGATTCACAATTCCAGTTTAAGGCTTTGTTATATCTCACCACTTATACGAGGTAGAAAACACTTGTACGCCTGATACTGGCAGCCGTGTACTCTATTTGCAGCCTATATCTCCGCCTTGGAGAGGGCGTGCCCTCGGACCCATTGTGAACGTGGCTGCATGTCTTGGAAATTTTAACAATGCAGGGCAGAAACAGTAGAGCCTCCCACTCACTTTCGCTTCGTTGTACTCGATCTGGCCACGTCTGTGCTGTACCAGCTTCGAAACAGCACCATTCTATAAGTTACCAGCAATCACGGCTAACGCAATTGAACCCATGGACACGCCTTCTCAAGCATCGAGATATGGACGGAGAAAGGCCTCTGGTCAATATTTATTGTAAAATTAGAATCCACTCGCCACTCCGAAATGCTCTATAAATAAGTAGACAAATAAGCAATCAACCAAACCAATGAATATTCTCTGCAAATGGAGCGATCCTAGATGCTCGTACTTCCAAGCACTGAACCCAGTTGTCGATGAACAAAATAACCTTTTCGTTACATGTTATAATTTTGAATTTTCAAATTTTGAGTAGTGTCCGACCTTGGAGAGGGGGAGCCACACCTAAGCACTCGTTAGCATAGAGATCCTGTGAACTGTATACAACTGGATATCGGACAAGTTTGTCAACACCTCGTGAGCTGTTACCACCTATTAAGTACTCTGTAAACTCCTATCAAACCGGACTGGTCAGGATTTGGGAAAAAAATGGACAAATGGCGGTTTAATAACCTGGTACCATTTCTCCAAGTTTGAGGGGATTTCGCGTGGCACTTGACAGGAATTTATGGGGCCTGCAGAGTGACATGATTGTGAAAAGGCAAAGGAAAAGACGAAGACAGACACACGTTACAGAAGCTCGCGGGTATGAATGGAGAGACGGGCAAGAGAATCGTAATTTGCCGCTCAGCTGCGCGCGGCGAGGGTGCGGCGTTTTCTTAACTCGTGTTAACCTGTCGATTGGAGCACCGGACTTCATGTAGACCCCGTCATCGTAGACATTCATGACTATTTTCGGTTCTGAATTGCCTGTTGCCATCTACTACCTGGAACCATCGTCATTTGCGGGCGCCACGTCGCAACCAGCTGCGGTGTATTACGATACCTTTGTCACATACCCGTGTGACCATCCCCGAGGTTGTTAGCGCTCTAATCTATTTGTTGTCTTCTATCGATTTCTATATATTGCATCAAAATAAATCCAATATTTTCCAGGTTATCGACACAAACGGTTGTCCGGTGAATCTCTGTGCCATAAAAGAAATTGTTACCGACGTTGTTACTGAAGCGGTTCAAGATGTACCACCAGAAGTGAAGTAAGCCCTTTTCAATAGCGAAGTCTCTTAAAGATTGCGATTTTACTGTTCATTTTGTATGTAACGTCATGTATTTTTTTCATCAGGTCCTTTACACTTACTATTTTTTTTTCTTTATTTTGATTTTCTCCGGTAATTTCTCATGGGCACATGCTTTTCCATTCCAGTCCATTTTATTATGACTTCACTAATTTGGGATCTAAGTAGACGTATTCAGATTCTCTTCCTTCCAGTTGCAAAACTTTATTCTGCTTCATCTTTTATTTCCTATATTCTCTATTCTATATTCTACCAGCCGGCTTTGCCGGCTGACGCCGGCGCGCCTTTTCTTGAGATATAGCATCGGCTCGCCGTCGGGCCCGGCTCCATCGCGCTTTATCTTTTTCCACACATTTCGGTACCTGCCTAGCATTCGCCTTTTCTTTCATCTGAACGGATGATCAACATTATTTCACCAATAGCACCATACCTGCTCTTTTCAACACTATTACGAGGCATAATGGTGGAAAGGAGCGTTGATCAAGTGGACTGATGAGAGGAAAGCCGGGTATTAGTCCAGCATTTGACCTACGGAAGCAGTAGGCGCGACGGAGCCACGCCCCGCAAGGCCGGGCTGTGTCACAAAGGAGGTCTGGAGTGCCAGGAGTGCTGTAATCGCTTGAGGAATTTCTAGCACTGGCCCCGCTCCCCTCAACGCACGCACTGCCCTCAACGTATGCCTCGCGCTTCTCAACTGATAACCCCTCGCTGGTCTGAAATTACTTTTTCCCGGTGTCTGGAGTGCTCTGGAAGCGTTTTGCTAATTTTTTAAATCGGGTTCCACCCACCTCGGGGCACGCTCCGCCCAACGGGAGTGCCTCACACATCCCGGCATGTGATCACTTGGGGCCATAATCCACTTTTGCGCCATCTGTAGTGCTTTAGAATCCAAACTATGGTTCTTTGTAATGGTACGTCGTGTTCAAATGCACGCCCTGCCCACTGTGGGCGGGCCACAGCATGCCTCAAACATGGTCGACACTTGCTAGATGTTCATCTCCGTCACGGAGTTTTCTGCGATTTCTAAACATTTTCGGGAACCGAGTTACCTACCTTTATGGAAAGCGCCACCCATCTCAAGCACGCCCCTCCCATTTCGGGTATGTTTCCTCTATTTGGTCGGTCAGCCCTTTGTTAACTTACTGCATGTTCTTCACTGGCAGGTGCCCTGGAACGGAGTCGACTTTTTTTCAGTGAATCGCTAACTTTCCACGCATAGCCCGCCGTTCGTGGCGGGGCTTACATTAGTCATGGTTGCTTAATTTAGGTATTGTCCCATGTCTAACCCAATCCCCCATGACTGGCTTCCCTCCTAAGTTCTTGTTCAGGTGCCTATGAATTTCGTGACAAACAGAGACCGACTCGCCGCAACACACACACACACACACACACACACACACACACACACACACACACACACACACACACACACACACACACACGGACATAGCTGATTATATCAGTAGGAATCTTTATTTTATTTTGATTTCTAGTTTTAGTTCAAATTTTTTTTTGGTTCCTGGTTACATCACCGAAATATTGATAACTGTTTAGAGAGGTAGCTTGTACTTCATCGCTCGTCTGTGTCTCACTGGCAGGACTGTTCTTCTCCGTCGTTCTTTATCGATACCTTCGGCATCTATACTTTCCCGAACCCGAAGGGTTCTTTTGCGGGTGAGTTTTAGACAATATATAAGTATATTTACTGTATAGAAAGCAATTGTAGAGTTGAGTAAGAAGAGTTCTTGTTACGCTAAAAAACATCCATGTATTTGCTAAATTCGAGTGGGCAACTTCTTGTTCGTGGGAGACAGTCTTTAGGACCACGCGACGTTGCGTGCGTGACAGTCTGCAAACAATGCATGCTTGCAGTGGAGCACACGCTCCGGGAAACTAATTCCGTTAATGATTCGACTGAATTCGCTTCTGTTTTCAGCCATCCACTCTGGTAGAGCCTGTATTGTCAGCCCTAGATTTGATTATTGCTTAACTAGTGTGATTACGGTGCAGAAATCGCAACCAATATGGTATTTGTGATTGTCGCGCGCGGACGCCGGTGTCCTATTGTCACGAGTTCATTGTTCGTTGCACACCGGGCCGTCAAAGATTGACTTGTAGTTTGTGGCAATGAAGGCAGTTTAGCGCCAGTTGCATGTGGCTTTTCTTAAAGTAGTTACACTCAGGGCAGCGATTAAGGAAATCCCTTGGAATGTAACTTCTCCTCCTCTCCTACCGTGCCCTTTTCCATGGGAAATCCCTAGCGGGTCCATGGTTTGTATGCTTTTATACTTTGCGATTCAATTCGACCGGTCAGTGACGAAGTACGACCGCACTCTCAAACTTCCCAAGTGTCACTATGGTGACTTGCTTTACAGCGAACGCTTAGCTGATCTATGACTTGTACTAAGAACTCATGAATTCATATAGAACCAAAAACATTCTTTTTATGTGGAAATATTGACCTTGGAACTGGTTATTCCTTGTAAGGAATCCCGAGTTCCAGCGATGCGCGGAAACATATTCGGCCTACATGGCCTTCCCTACCTTGCTGATGTTTCTGTAGCGAATTCGCGTCGAACCAATTCGCAGTTCTGTTCGATGGGGGCATTTCGCTGGTCTCTATCGATCACTGGTTATGCCTTCAGTAAAGACCTGTGAATTCCTTCAAGCTATGCAGTCGGATGAGATTCGTTTGCTTTGAGAAGACTACAGGTTTCCACAAGTTGTAAGCAGGTCTCACCAAGGTTAGACCAACAGGAAATAGTGAGAGAAACGGGCGAATTCCTACCATCCCCCACCACCACCACCTCCCAGCTGAACAGCGCCCAATTGGGCCCTGATGCGAATGACATGGCAAACGGGGTTGTGCATCACAACTACCCCTAACATTACTGGAAGTTAAAAAAATGAAAAAAGTAAGATCACGAAAAATTACTATCATTTCCAAATCTTTCAGGACCTTTTCATGGTTATTCGCCCCGTTATTCGATGCACTTTGCGAGAGGCAGGCTGTGGGCGGATTCTTTCACGAAATGAGCCGCGAATCGTCCATTCTGTATGGCGAAGTGCGAGACTGTAAGTATTTTCTTCTAGTTTTTTTTTCTTCTTTCTCCCTAGGTTGGAAACATATTCACATCAACATATGCCATTGTTGAGCGAAACTCATCAGCAAGGGGTTGTATCTGGGGTCTGTGTGGGACAGGTACGCTCTATTTGATCTAAGTTTGGGGGTCGTACTTACACCCGTAGTGACACTCTTCCTGTGCTGCACACTGATTCAAAGTCGGTGGCTTTTGCAGTAATGAGAACTGGTAATTGCTGAGTGGAAGAAGAAGCCTATCAGTGAAAGTTTTAAGGTCCGGACAAGGGATCATCGAAAAAGGCTACAAAATTAAGTCCTTCTTCGAGCATTCGAACTCGGCAGTGCATGAGCTTGTAGTGTAGGACATACCACCTATGCTGGATGCTGGGAAAAGAAGAGACGACGAAGAGTTCATGAGAGAGAGGGAGAGAGAGAGAGAGAGAAGAGAGAGAGAGAGAGAGGGAGAGTAAGCAGAGAGAGAGAGAGAGAGAGAGAGAGAGAGAGAGAGAGAGAGAGAGAGAGAGAGAGAGAGAGAGAGAGAGAGAGAGAGAGAGAAGAGAGAGAGAGAGAGAGAGAAGAGAGAGAGAGAGAGAGAGAGAGAGAGAGAGAGAGAGAGAGAGAGAGAGAGAGAGAGAGAGAGAGAGGAATTCACCTTGTGTAAATCCTATGCATCGCTGTCTTTAGGCGAGATCGGGCTCGGTAGGTGGACACAGGCCGTGATAGGCCTATACTTTGCCTTGAAATTTCATTGTATAGTCAGAGAAGTCGGTCCATTGCGCCAGCAAAGCGTCATGCTTAACTAAGGGGGTTGGATTGTTCCATTAACTTCAAAGAAAATTCAACGAAATTTATACAGTAGATGGTAAAGTGTCGTCAACGTGTTAAAAAATTTCCAATTTCCAATGCGTTCTCTTGAACGTTCTTTCACTTGATGATGGGTATCGGTTTTTTCCATCGCATCCGTGGTGATTATTCCTGATATGTGTGAAGGACTCATAGGATGTAGTGTTGCTTGGGACAGTTTTTGTCTCATTTTTTCTTTTATTTCCTACGGATCAGAAACACTCGACGTGGCAGTCGTAGATTTCATTTTCTTTAGCGTCCTGTGCTGTTATGTCATGCGTCGATGTAAGCCATGTGACCGTACTTCGTCTCTGTGATAACAGGATGTAGCGGAAGGATTCTAGAAAAGTTTTTCGGAGTTCGGAAGGGGTCGATCCAGAGGCTCGAAGAATTGATTAGGAAGAAAAGGGGACCGTGGGGTAGGACTACAGGTGGACAGCTAGGTTTTCACCCAATGCAGCATTTAATCGTCCCCTTTACTAAACGTCTCTAGAAAGCTAGGCGGTATACAGGCAACGTGAGCGCACTTTAGAAAACCAACATGTTTAGCGATTAGGGTGTAACGAGACCCCTCAATCTGGTAGAACTGGGAGGAGAGGGAAAGAAGTGAGAGCAAGGAAAAGGAGGACGCAGACGTGTGGTCATGATCCCTGGAAACGATAGGGCGTGTGAACGGGCGTGAATTTAAGCGCAGCCAAAACAGGCTTCCCACCAACACTGCGAACTCAGGATGGCGTCACTAATGAAGAAGGCTGCCTTGGCAGCGCTCTAATACACGCCGCGTCGCACGCCCGATCGTTTCGGATTGCGACTGTAGTTCCCGGGTGCAGGAAGTTAGGGCGAGCGGTGCCACGTTCTTCCACCACCGCAGAGTATGAGGCGTTACTTCAACCAGCAATTTCCCAGGTAGATGACTAGTCAGCTACATGCTAGTCGACGTGAGAGACGCAGACGCAGAGAAAGTCGACGCGCCACAACACTGCCACATTGAGTGGATTGGGTCCTGAAGCGAAGCATGCTGTTTACCTTACACCGCTTGCAACGCCTATTTTGCCACTTTCTCGACTCGGAACATCATCCCACTATCGTTCGACAGTCTGGAGTAAAGCCTATGGTCCAGCTTGTCCATACTCACGCATTCTCCTCCTCTCACCAACTACGTTAGTGCCGGAAGGAAATTATGAAGCATCAAGGCGCCAAGGCAGTTGGGTGGGGGGGGGATGTGACAGTCGACGACG